TTATAGTTTCTGCATGCTATCTTACCAGATTTAAATTGATGATCTATAATCCGGAAAAAAACCCTAATCCAGTATCGCCAAAGTCCCGACGAGTCCGGATTAAAGACTTTGTATTGTCTATGATTTTTACAATCACCGTAATTGCAGTAAATTTTAATGCAAGACTATTCGCAAATCTTGTAAACCAGTAAGAAATTATAGAATATATGATTATGAATGAGATAAACAATATTTTGTCCCTTAAAAAAAAGACAAAAAGTAATTATCATATCACATGAATTTTAAAGGGGGTTGATAACCCCCCTTACATCTGAAATTTTCAAGAAAAATCTCTAGATCTGGGATTTTGAACAATGCCAGATTTTGTGATGATCTATTTTTTATTTCATCATAATATATATGTATAGTTTTTATTAGTTTTTGACATGATCATATGTACTTTTTGATCATGTCTTCAACTTCTCACACTTGTTAAGAGTAACAAACGTTAATTATCAACCCTAATGATACATAGTTGATAATTTTTACACAATAATCTAAAGCAATAGATTGTTACAAAAAATAGTGATGGATTTCAAAATCCCAGATTTTGAATTTTACTTAAAATCTACATCCATGTAAAGTTACTCCTGCCTCCTAATGGCAAGATGCTGGCTTCAAGAGTCAAAGATTGTAGATTCAAATGTATGAAAAGCATGCAAAACATCTGAGCGTAGCGGTAACACACTGAGTAGAAAATTCAGACTATACTAGAAACTTATATTGCGTGTTCAGACCTCTCTTTTCCCAGCTCTGATGGAGTGAATATACCAAATTTTTTTAACTACCATGACTTTTTTTTTTTCCCACAAGAATTTTGAATGTATTTTTCATTGACAATAAATGTAATTATCACTTTTGAGGTAGAATTATGTGCATTATTTTTCTTTTGACATTCTTCTTCGGGAAAATCTTGGAAAAGTTAGAGGAAAATATAAAAATTTCAAATGATAATTAAAATGAACAAGTTAACGGAATATTATAATAAATTATTTAAGAACTTCTCATGCTTGTTAAGAGTAACAAATCTTAATTATCAACCATAATGATAAATAGTTGATAATTTTATGATAGTTGATATGGCACAATTCATAAGATGATCTGACCATTCTGATCCGATTCTGTACCGACTGATGCCAAATTAGCAAAAGTAATACTGGTATTAGTATAAAGCTGCTGTTTTTTATTTAAAAATTATTTAAATTTTAGTTAAAAAATAGTGAATTTGTAATTATAAACGAATGGTGACAAGTAAACCGTTTGTTTAAAATAATAATAATAATAATATTTATACAGAAAGGAAGCTTGTCAGTATGGAGTTAATTTTAAGGTATACTTCTAGACATTTTAACGGCTTCATGTATGTTTTCATAAACATGCATGACCACTTTTCACACAACTTATATAAGAACTTAAAGGTTTAATCTTGCTGATAATTTTTCATTAATTTAATGAAACTGACTTGCATGAGATTAGCAAATTTACTAATTGTGGAATCCAAATTTTAACAGAAAAAGAAATATTATATAAAATACAGTTACTTCACCAAGTTCTAGACAAAAGTTTAGACAATTTTTGAAAAAACATTTTCTAAAATAAAACTTTAGACAATGGCTCTTCATGAGTGTATGAATGACTAATTGAAGTAATTACAGTTAAGGTAAAAAAATATGTGTCTAAAGCAGAAACTATGTTTTAAACCCTTTTTAAAGTTTCTATTGTTTATTAATTTTTTAAATAACTGCTCCCTTTTTTTAAATGTCATATTTAGTAATACTACATAGATTTAAACAAAATATAATTTTTATTACATTAATTAAAGCAATTATATTAAGGAAAGTTCATACAGGATGCAAAAAATTTTAGGGTGTTCTGTCCCATGAAAAATTCCCTCTCTAAAATTGAAATATGCAATTATGAATTTTTAATTGTCATTCAACAAAATTCATAAAGTAAATTAGATATACATAACAATCCTTTTCTGGGATAGCCTAAATTTATCTTCCATTTTTCTTTCTGAATGATTAAAATTTTAGCTAGGATAGATGTTAAAGACAAGAAATTCAAGTGATCAAGAAAAGTAATTAAAATGAATTTTGATTTCTTTCAAGTGCATTTCTTCATTTAAATTATTTTCATCTCCTTGCTGCAGTCATCTCTCACATATTTAGCATAAACCACTACTTTTTTCTTCCCTTACATAAAGCAAGAAGTAAAATAAGTTTTAATCTAGCAGAAATTGGATCCACTTTAATTTAAAAACATAGCTACAAAAAGCCAAAATACCACGCAAAAATTCATGCTTTCCTCCCAAGTTTCCGATATGCAGAGCCATCTAGTATGCATATATTACAACTTTTAAAGTGAAAGTTTCTGCCCTAGTGTGAAATCAGACCACATTTTATAGCCACATTTTAGTTAAAAAAATAAGCACCTATAAGCATTTTCAACACATTTTTAAAAAAAAAAAATAAGCACCTGTCTAATTACATTATACACACTGCATAACCTTAAAATTAGACTCGTAATTTAAAATATGACAAATGCAATATTTATTAAAAGAGCATAAGCATTACCTCAACCATGGAAAATAAATACTTTTTTTTTAAATTTTAAATAACAGTTCAATTTACAGAACTAGTTTACAATGAGAAAAAAAAAACTATGCAGAACTAAACTATATTACAAGATTTAATGATGAAATTTCAGTTCAAAATAGAGGAAATAAATAATAATAAGGCATATTTATTCTATTCGCTTAGAATTTAATAATAAATACAATTTATTTTTTCACTCATATTGATATTTAACTAATTTAAATCTAAATTCTGAACATTTTCTAAATTTTCATCGTATAACAGTTTTTCCTTAACAGATATTGCAAGCAAAGTAATTTAAGTAAAAAAGAACATTTCTGAAATCAGAAGACAGAAATTTACTTCATGCAGTAATCCTTTAACAGTAAACGCTAACTACCCGCATACTTGAAAATTGGCGAATATTCGGACAATCGAGCATAACTTGAAAAAGAGGAGCGGGGGGGGGGGGGAGACTGTAGCCATTCTTTAGATTTTCCGCTAAATAAATGCTTTTGACATTTCGATACGTGCATCATATAAAAATAAACCAATGGAACAAAAAAATATTCTGCTTTGCAAGCACAGTAAAACTCTTTTAAGTGTTCATAAACAAATCTCAGACTGAACATCAAAATTAATTATCTCTGCAAAATATCGCAAACATTATTGCACAATACGTGCGCCGTAATTCTTCCCTACATGATATTACATAATCGCATTCAACAGCTGCCGGTTTGGAAAATAAGAACTAAATACAGGAAAGAGAAGAGACTACCAATCTGGGGTTTTTAAATTCTAATTTATCACAGACTGCGTTAATTTCGGAATATAATCTTCTTTGCTTGGGTTGGTTGACCGCAAAACTTTTAGTCCTATTCAATCCAGATTGGAAAGTGACAAAAAAAAAGAAGAGAGAGAGAGTTCCGTTCTTGTTTTGCAGCGAACTGTACCAGTTTCAATACTCGAGATTTTGCAGAGAAAGGAAAACCTCCCAACTTTCGTATTGTATAATGTATTGGCCCAAAAAATGAAATTATTTTGACTATTCGATTATTCCCTTTATTAATTCCTTGTATTTTTTGTGAAGTTTTATACTGTTTATTAATATTTCCGAACTATATTTTTCTAAAACATTATGCTCATAATATAATAGCATAAGATGGCATATATAACAAACGAATATGAACTGACGCGGAACATGAAGGCAAAGAATTAAATTATTAAAATCTTGATAGAAATTCAAACGTGTGTAGCATTTGGGTGGGAGGAAAAGAATACCGAATGTACCAGAATTTTCTACCGTTTTCGCAATTCTTTGACCAATAGAACGACATGCACCTGTCTGTACTCTGGCGCACAACATAGGTTACGTTAATGCAGACAAAGGGGGAAAAGCTATTTCCGAGAGTATGATTCACCATCTGACGTTCCATATAAGGAAGAAAAGTTGTTTATTTAGTTTCGGCTTTGGTACCGTGGGGGGGGGGGATGCGCGTTCATTAAAAAAAGCACTAAAAGCAAAAAATAAGCACTCAAAACAAAAAACTAAGGGCTTTAAAGAAAAGGTAAGCATCTATAAGGGCCTTTATATTTTATTTTCAAATATAAGGACTTATAAGCACTTATAAGGACCGCTACGAACCCTGGAAATGACGTATGTGTAAAGCATTTTTCCCCACGTTTCCACTTTTTGCTCTAATGGACCTGTGTGAATGAAGCTTAAGACTTTACCTGTAAAAGGATACATCTTTAAATTTTATTAGTCCATTTTGAACTTTAAAACTACAGACATTTGGACTACAGAAGAGGACAGCTGACCCTACGGCTAAAAAATTTACCTCTTTAGTAAGCTCCTTAATAAGTAACTCTTTAGTAACAAAATACTAAAGAATTATATTCTAGTTTGAATGAAGAGAAATTAAATAAAATTTGCATAAATCTTATTCCCATAATTAAAATGGTTACATACAGATTTTATACTCAGTGATGAAATATTAAGTATCCCAAATACACAAGAGAATCTAGATTATTTTATCAAGTTGGATTTGCTCTTAAAATGCATTCCAAATGTACAGCTGTCCCAAATAAAAAAAAAAAAAAAAGAGAGAGAGAGAGAGAACATATTTAAAACTGTGATGCTCTGTAAAATGCTGCAAAGTAATAAATATGTATATACTGAAACAAAATAATTAAGAAATATAAAAATTTCTTTAAAACACTTATTTTAAGATAAAAAATTACATGAAATATTAAACATATACTTATGACGCACATTTTATAGGAAATTCTAAAAAAAAAAAACTGCTAGAAAACTTATTTAAGACTAAAGTATTACATACAAACAGCAATAATTTTGAATCATATAATTTGTTAACAATCTCATTACCTATTTTGCTTTAGTATCGTTTGCTGGATGACTTCTTCTCCAGTACAAGCAATTCTAAGCAATGTCTGGCCAGCTTCAAAATGCAGGAGAGTAAAAATGCATAACTCTTGAGCTTTATCACTATAAAATACAATACACTTTCAGTTTTTAACATCCCTTTAATACTTTTAAAAACTAAAAAAGTTAAAACTTAATGGAAGTCATATTAAAATTTATGAAATTTAATATGTATACGTACACACATACAGTAGATTATTCATAGAAAAGGATGGGAAGAAACATCTTGAATAGTTGTTAATATTACAACCATTGCAGTGCCATTATTTAATATGAGATATACAAAATATGAATGCAAATGTCATAATTCACATCAAAATTATACATCTTTCATCTTAACACAGTAATTATTATATTGATTCATGCAATGACCACATGCCCTTATATATCAACACATCAAAACTCGCATTAAAAATAATATCAGGAATATACAATCGTTATGAAAATGCTACAGAATAACCAAAAAAAATAATAAATATAGAAAATATAATTAAAGTAAAGCAGTCCAGAAGCAATACAAAATAACACATTTATATCCAATAAATAAGGAGTTAAACTCAGTAAGACTTCAACAAACCAAATTTTAAGAATTTGACTAAAAGTATTTAACAAGCAAATTGCAGTATTAAAAAAATTAATCAACATTACAGATTCTTAAAAAAAATAAATAAATAAACAAAATCTGAAATGTTTCAGATTTTAAATTACGTCCAAAGGGGCGTTTTTTAACATTTTGTGTGTTACCTTTCTTTATTAAATATCATGTTCCTCGCACTTAAACCATAAGATCCAGTGCAACAGCAATATCGCAAAATAGTTTTAAAACGAGCATATCTTTAGAATTTCCGATACAGAGACTCACGCGCTGGAGATAAAAATGCTTTTTCTGCACAACGTTGCCATTGCTCGCTTTGAAATCCTTGAGTTTGTTAATCAAAAATTCGTCAAAGTTTTAAAAAATAGGAAATCGATCATAAAACAAAGTTCAAATTTCAAATTTGGTCTTCCACATGCTCATATTCGTTGGAGGATTACGTTATTCAAAATTCGATGACTCTATGTACCGTTGTTTTATCACAATACGAGAAATATACATACATTTATGCAGATTTTTCATTATTTAATTTCTTCAAATATAATGCAGGACTCTAACATTTTGTGGCAACAGTTTGAAAAGTGAACCGATATTTATGAGTCCGACGCAAAATGCCAAAACGAAACTAATAGTCCTTCGGGATTCAAATCCCTTTGGACTAAAAAAAAAAAGCAAAATGAATATAATAAAAAAATTTATTAAGAAACACAAAGTATGAAATTTTAATACAATGTTTGATTCTTACACTGTCTGCACTCTGCACTTTTCAACAGAAAACAGGCTATGAAGTAAATTTAAGCACTTCTGGCCTAAGGGAGAAATAAATTCAAAATCGATAAAAACAGGAAGTATATACATGCAAAGAAAATTCAAACATTATAATGCAGTGGGAAGTACATTAACCCTTTGAGTGGCAAGACTGGCTTTATCCAATCATGAGATTTTTTGTCACTTGATGCATATTAGCTTATAACTTAAGATATTTTGTTTTCTTACTTTCTTTAATAATGTAAATGTAATCTTAATGAATATAAATTTATGAAAATAGAGGCTAAACTAAGTAATTATATAAATTATCTAATAAATGCTGCATAAATACAGGGTTTCATGACAAATCCAAAAACCTGTGCCGTTTAGGGGTTTAATATAGAAAACTTTACAACAATAAATTCACTTTCATTTTTTTTATGAGAGCAAACATAAAATAGACTGATATAAAAAACAGTCAATATTAAAATTAAAAAAAAAAAAAGTCTAGTTCCTTTGTTGATTCAACATTTTCACTTTATTCCAACTAAGGCAAAAGGATTAAAGTTACAGGCAGAAAACAATTTATAAGTTACAAAACACACACCATATGAGAACAAGCATAATATAATAAAATGCAGCAGCTCAAAACATATGGTTTTTATCTTTCAGTGACAACTCTGAACAAGTAAAAGCCTTTACATATGATTAACAGCAAAGATTCAATCGAAAGTGTACATGATGCTATATAATAAAACTTTTTTTTTTTTTTTTTTTTTTTTTATTCTACTGTTTCTTGAGGAGTAGGTTAAATTACCAGAATCTCTTGCATATAAGAAAGAAAACAGTACATTGTAAATGTTACATTGCATCATGTAATATTTATTACCCTTCTATGCAGCATTAGAATTTTAAATACATAATTATTATACTTATTATATTAATATGACATTATACATAGCTTTGGCTATATATATTTTCAAAGTTTACCCAAAGCAATTCTTGGGACATGCATAGATATTCAATACGATTTACCTATAAGTATTCTTTCCTGTGGATTTACATAGTACCATTTAGGAAAATATGAAAATATTTCTCGTAAAATATAAACAATACATGCAAGGAAATTTTCATCTTCATCTACAGCTCCCTAAAAAAGAAGTCATCAAAAATTTAATTGCACCTCATATAACAAAACAAACAGTTTATTTATATCATAGAGATATATGATGGTAAAAAGGAAGAATTTACATGACACTTTGGATATAGGTTAAGGGGATGGGAATTTAATCTACTTATCTTAAATCTGAAGATTTGTATTTTTGATAAAAACATATAATGATAAATTTTAACACGATAAAACAAGAAGAAAATTACATATGCATCTGTAATGCCTACAGTATCTTATTAGTAAAACCTATAGTAATGAGGACCATGGAAAGAAAGCGAACAGGATATTATTTGACTCTTGCAACTACTTTGCTGTTTCTAGAGAGAAATGCACTGTTACAACTCATGGAAGATGACATGCAGTGGCTCCAAAAAGCGTTTATTAAGTACTTATGATTTTCATTGAAATAGGGTTCTATTCATTAATTAAAAGTAAACTTTCTGAATGAGATGTTAATAATAATATCTATAATCTATTCGTAACAAAATTACATGAAATATTTTTAAAATATAGTGAAACTTTATTTTTAAGAAACTAATAATCAAATAACAAACATTTTATCTCACAAAAGTAAAATAATAAACAGATAAACATATGCAGAACCTTCATTTTTATGTATTTATTAAAGTAATTTCATTTCTTAGCATTTCCTTTTATTAGCTATCATTAGCTACATATTTGTTTTTAAACAGTGTTTACTCACACTGTTACAACTCATGCAAGATGACATACAGTGCCTCCCAAAAGTGTTCGTACACAAACGATTTTCATTGAAATAGGGCTCTATCCATTAATTAAAAGTAAACTTTCTGAATGAGATTTTAATAATAAGATCTATAATCTATTTGTAACAAAATTACATAAAATATTTAAAATATAGCGAAACTTTATTTTTAAGAAATTAATAATCAAAACATAACAAACATTTTATCTCACAAAAGTCTTTGTACACTTCAAAAAAATCCTGACATATTAGTAAATATTTTCATTTTTCGTTAAATTAATATTTAGTAGGATATCCTTTAGCATCCACAAATACTTTTAAACATCTGGGAATAGATTTCACTAGTTTTTTCTTTGGTAATTTTTGTATCAATGTTCATCCATTCTTCCATCATGATTGTTTTGAGTTCACTTTTCCTTTTGATGTCGTGTTTTCGTACTTTAACCTCCAGTTCTTTCCACGTGTGTTCTATGGGGTTTAAATCTGGCAACTGAGGTGATATTTTCAAAACCTGTGGACAATTATAGACACCACAGGCGAACGTTAAGAGCCGTATGCTTAGGATAGTTATCATGATTAAAAATAAAGTTGTTTCCAATACCCAAATTTTGGGCTGATAATTTTAAATTGTCTCTTAGAATATTTAAATAAAGAGAATGATTCATTAAGCCATCAATAAATACCAAATTACCTAGTCCTGATGCACCAATTTCATCAGCAAACAGGACATTATTCCAGTACTTTTCGGGTGTATTTATCATTGATTTTGCGAATGAAAGCCTAAGCTTTCTGTTTCTTTCTCTAACAAAAATTTTTTTACAGAACACCCATGTAATCCAGCTTCTCTGAGAAAACATCGAACAGTTTCAGGTGAAATTGAAGCAGAAAACTTTGCATTAAATTCTGCAGAAACTTTTACAGCACCTCAAACGTGGGTTTTTCACAAATTTTCTAATAATAAATCTCTTATCACGTTTAGTTAATAGTTATGTCATAGCTGCCATATTGTATATATTATAATAAGAAAAACTAGAGGGTTTTTTAAACCAAAGCTCAGAAGTTTCAGGATGTTTGTACTGCATAGTGGTGCCATTTCAAAACGACTCCAAACTAAAGTGAATTTACTTTATAGAGAAAGATTCAGTTATGCAAATATTTATATGTTTCTGATGTAAAATATATTAATAATTAAGGTATATGCTATTGTGTGGATAAACATAGTGATGTACTATATATTGATGCAAAACAAAATTAAATATGCATACTAACTGATTAAACATTTTAAATATGGCAGTGTGATGTGAATTAATAACAACAAGCAATGGACCGTATTAAAATGAGATTTTATTTTCAAGCCAAACAAAAGTTGCATTGTAAATCCAGCTAAAAACAGAACATCTACTCTCGACAACAAGGCACGAGTAGTCACATGATTGATTTAATAAATCTGCGTTCGTAATAGCAGCGTCATCTACAAACCTAAATTTAATATTAACATACCACGCCCCTTGAAGCACTCCAAGTGCTTCAAAGAAAAATGCAAGATAACCTGAAAAATTTTAAGAAAATATTACTGACAAAGTATAAAAGAAAAGTTGTAAATAATCAAACTTAACAGTGTAAAAAAGGCTATTGTTCTAAAGAGTTCAAAGTTCATAGTGTTTGACAGGCAAAGGACAGAGTTTAACGATAGGTCTTTTAATTTCAACATTGGCAGTTCGAATATCCACAACTCGAATTTTGTTATTCGATCTGGGATATACACGAATTATTCTACCCAATTTCCACTGAAAAGGTGGTATGTTTCCTTCCTTAATCAGGACTAAGTCATTGACAGTCATATTTGTGTGAGATTTCTTCCACTTATTTCGATGTTGTAACTCAGATAGATACGCTCAACTCCATTTTTTTCCAAAAATTTTGGAAAATTAGTCTCAATTTCCGTTGATCAACAATAATTTTTTTTTTTTTCTAAATTTTCTTTGGGCAATGATATGAGACATGTACCAATGAGGAAACGTCCAAGTGTGAGAAAACTAATGTCATTCCGATCATCAGATTGTGGAAACAAAGGCCTCGAATTCATACAGGCCTCAACCTGTGTTACCATGTGAATTCAGAATAAGTCAAGATCACTGCTCCCATTGATCACTGCTCCCATTGAAGATAATACTTCATAGATTTTACAGCAGATACCCAAAGTCATTCAAAAATGTGGTGCAGCTGGAGGAATGAAATCCCATTTAACATTTTCTGAAGTCAGGAAAGAATGGAGATGTTAATTTTTCTGACATAACAAGAGAGCCTTATGTATTTCCTTGCCAACACCCTTGAAGTTCGTCCCACAGTCACTAAATATTTCCTTTGGTTTTCCTCTCGTGGATATAAACTGTTTTAATGCTTCTACACAAGCCTTGGAAGAAAGATCTTTGACAACTTCAAGAACTACTTGCATCGTAAAACAAAAAAAAAAAAAAAAAAAAAAAAAAATTGCAAACACTTGAAAGCCTTTTGTTCATTGCCTGCTCTGTGTTTTATCATGAATGGGCCAGCAAAATCCATCCCGACCCAAAAAAACAAAAAAACAAAAAACTCGTGAAGCTGTAACTCTAGACGATGATAGCTCAGCCATTATTTGTTTTGCGACTTGGGCACAATGTATACAGCAAACTACACAATTGTTAATAATTTTTCTTATTTCAGATCTAGCAGCGACAATCCAAAACCTTGTCTTATTATAGAAAGTGAAAGTGCAGGAGGTGCATGCAAATACATTCCATGATAATGTCTAATGATGAGCTTAGAAATGAAATGTTGTTGAGGAATGAGAGTAGGATGTCCTTGATTTTCCAAAATATTTGAATTCCTTAATGGTCATCCAACAAGAATAATTTCTCTTTCATCAAGGAATGGACTTAAGGAAAGTATTTGACTGTTTCAATTTCACAGATTTTTCACTCTTTAAGCTTCATACTTCTTAAATAAATTCAGAATGCTGAAAAATTCTTATTATCGTACAACTTGCATTATTAAGTTCTTCATTGACAAGAAATCCTGTTTTCTTAGAAGTGTGCTTCAAACAATTGTTCATAAATCATAAACAATAAGCAACAATACGGCATAATTTTATCCAAGATGAAAATCTGCAAAGAAAAGTCATCATCAATTTTAACACATTGGCTGCCACGCGCATTTTACGTGGTTTGCCCATGGTGCCAATATGATTTTTTTTATTATGCGATGTATATTATGTTTAAATATTATCTACGGAAGACAAGATGAGTTATATAAATGTGTTTAATGTATTTTTCGTGGTAAGGGGTCACCGGTGACCCCTGAGGTGCCGTAGATAATTTTTGCAATTTATTATTTAAGTGTTTGCCATTTATTATTCTTTAAACCATTACAGTAACAATGGTGTTGTTTAAAAATTTATCTGTGTCGATATTTACTATTTGTCACATCACCGGTCACTGGTGGCCCCCACGGCGCTGTAGCCAAGTCGAGCGCCCGGCCACCGGTGACTCTCACGGCAGTCAACATGTTAACTAAATAAGAAATAATGCACTTTCTTTCTTGGCCGTCCAATTCCATTTGTTCATCCAATACAGATTCCGGATTAAAATTCTGTAATCAGGAAGGTCCATTGAACCACTGATCACATTTTCATTAGTTTGTAATCCTTTAGTACTATAATCAGCAGGATTATTTTTCCCTTGAATGTAATTCAATTTCACCTCAGGAATGGCGGTTTGAATTTTCAACACTTGTTTGGCTATGAAAGGAAGCCACCTCTGTGATTCAGATGCAATCAGGGTTCATAGCCACATTTTAATTAAAAAAATAAGCACCTATAAGCACTTTTCAAGCACATTTTAAGAAAAAAATAAGCACTTGTCTAATTACACTATACACAACTGCATAAAAGAAAAATTAGGCATGCAATTTAAAATATCAGCAATGCAATATTTATTAAAGGAATGAGCATTACCTCAACCATGGAAAGCAATTAACTTTTTTTTTTTTTTTAATTTTAAATGACAGTTCAATTTACAGAATTAGTTTACAATGAGAGAAAAAAACTATGCAGAACTAAACTATATTACAAGATTTAATGATGAAAATTTCAGTTCAAAATATAGAAAATAAATAATAATAAGCCATATTAATTGTATTTGCTTGGCACCTAATAATAAATACATTTATTTTTCCACTCATATTAATATTTAAATAATTTAACTTAAATCAAAATTCT